CTGCGGCGGTTTGGGATGTAAAGGAAAAGAAGCTGGCGCAACACTACATCGTTCATGGAGGTGCGAACTTGGATCGTTCGGAAGCTTATAACTTACTAATTTGGATTACACAGACTGTTGCCTGGACGTGGATTGGTTGACCGAAGATACTTTTGCAAGCTGTGGTGCAGACAAACGTATCAATGTCATGAAGCTTGGAATCGAGGAGCCTATAAAGACCTTTGAGTGCGTTTACAAGCCCGAGTGATAACTGTCTTACTTACAATCATTCCAGCGGTCATCAGGACGAGATTAACCAGATCCGCTCGAATCCCTCGGGCACACGACTAGCTTCATGTTCAGACGACCGTACCGCCCGGATATGGAGAGTTGACAACATCTCAGTTTCAGTTGATGATGACGCTATCCCGGGCTTGGGCTCTCCAGCGGGCGATGTGGTGATTCTTGCTGGCCACACACACCCGGTGAGCGTTGTCCAATGGCGTCCGAAGACCATGAATGGCGCACATGAGATTGTGGCGACAGCATCGTTTGACAATACCGCCAGAATATGGGATTCGGTCACTGGGGAGTGTCTGCATGTCTTTGACGATCACAGACGTCCAGTCTACGCTCTGGCATTTAGTCCGGATGGCCAGTTTGTCTCAACAGGTGGAGGCGATGGTCTGTTCATCATCTACGACATGAAGGTGAGCCATTCTCGAACTTTCGGTCATGACTCTTGCCTGAACGAATGGTGTGTAGACCTATGAACAGAAGTGGGTGTGGTATGCTGGGGCTGACAAGCCTGGTGTGTTCGAGATCGATTGGCAAATGCAAGAGGGTGTCAACAGGGTCGTGCTCGCCTTGGAAAGCCGACAGGTTGCGGTGATCGATATTTCCAAACTCCCCTCGCTCGGAACGGCAGAATATCAACAAGCCCGACAAGCGATGCTATCCACATCTAGTCTAATAGCACCGGCAAAGTAATCACTTGAATAATGTACCTTAGTCTTGCTTATACTTTTTTGACCCGTTGTTGAAACGTTGAGGATTTGCCGATTTGTCAGAGGCTTTCGAGGCCTTTCCGTCGATGCCGTTTTCCCGCGCCGCGTTGGTGACGTTGCCTGTGCAGTTGGCGCCGGTTATATAGGTCCCTGACGCAACGCCGACCACCCGAATTTCTACCACTTTCTATCATCAACCATGCAGCGAGTTCCTCTGTCGACGTTGCGACACCTTGCATCGCCAACGGCTCGCAGCTTACGACCCGGAGCATCGCGACTATTCGCGCATGGCTCAGCAAACAATTTCAGCACCTTTAGGCAGAGCAATATCTTGAATACCCTCAAGAGCGAAAAGGCCAAGTGGAGTTCGGCAACCGTTGGGCTGTTTGGGAAGGGAGCATCTCGAAGTCTCTATACCGAGCCTGTGGTGCAGAGAACACAGTTTGACTGGAAGAGATTTGGCTTGACGGCAGTAAGCATTTCACTCGGGCTTGAGTCAAGTTCGATCCTTGACGATTTCGATAGGCAGGAGTAGCTGGAGCAGTCGTTGCTGTCAATGCCGTCTTCAATCGTGAGACCCGTGAAGGTCTCAGTGCAGGCGAACAGGAGTACCTGCATTCTACGTTCAAGTACACTGGCGGAGGCCTCGCTCTAACGGCGTTGGCAGCACGTGCCATGTTCTCGAGAGGTCTACCTCTGAGGCTCATGGCCGCAAATCCATGTGAGTAGCTTCACTCTTCGCTGCCGGGGTTGTTGCTAATACCTTGCAGGGGTGGTCCTTGGTGTCAGCTTAGTGGGTAGCATTGGGTCGATGATGGGAGTGTACTACACCGCACCTGAAAACACCGTGCAGAAACACCTCTTCTGGCTGGTAAGTCTTGCTAATCCTCCTTCCCAAAGTCCACTTCTGAATCCTATCAGGCTTTCAACGGCTTCCAAGCAGCGACTCTGAGTCCCCTCTTCTTCGTCAACCCTGCCATCCTTTCTCGTGCAGCTCTTTACACCTTTGGAACCGTCGGCGCCTTGTCATATATTGGAGCAACAGCCAAGAACGAGACTTTCCTCTACATGGGAGGACCTCTTCTTGCTGGTGTTACCGTCGTCGCTCTCAGCTCTTTGGCGCCTATGATCCTCCCATCGATGGGTATGCGTGCACTTGCCATTACCGAGTCAATCTCGTTATATGGAGGATTGGCTGTATTCGGAGGTTTTGTACTCTACGAGTAAGTCCTTGCTTGGATGAATCTTGGTACGTTGGCTAACACCTTTTTTCAGCACTCAAAAGATCTTGAAGCATGGACGAATGGTGGAAGCTGGTGTCATGAAGAGCGACCCTCTCCGGGAATCCATCAGCCTGCAGCTCGACATGATCAACATCTTCATCCGCCTGGTGCAAATCTTCGGCATGCAGCAGAGCAAGAGGAAGTAAACGGCATCGAGGCATTTGACTTTACCTTCAAAAACGTTCCTTACACATGTAGCCACTAGTAGTTAATAAATGTATCATTAATCCCCCTCTAATCAGCACATGAACCAATCCAGATCAGGCTTTGCCCAGCGTTTCCAACTGCTGGAGGAACGTAGCCGGATCGACAATGTCCGTACCACCATAGGTAATTCGTTTGCCAGACTTGGAGGCCCACTCCTGCAGGTTGCCAAACTCGACATAACCAGCGCCCCCAATGATGAAAACCATGGCCTCGTTGAAAGCCATCCTCCTTGCCCTTCCAACCCCACTGCCCCCCGCACCTCCGGGCATTTGAACGTGCTTTGGCGCTCTAGGATCCAAAAAGATGTACTCGTCCGTCTCGGCCAACGACTGGTTCGACGCAGCCGACGAATCCATCAAGGCCTCTGTAAGCCTCGCCACAGGGAGCAGCTTGTTGGTCGGCAAGAGGTTCTTGACACCCGAAAGCAGATTATCAAACCCTCCTTCCTTCAACCTATCCGTGAGCCTGTTACCGAGAGCACTAAAGCCCTTGAACAGCTCTCCTCCCTGGCCAGCCACACTACCCAAGTTGGGCGTCGAGCTGCCCGTCGCACCACCACCCACATTCACCGAACTCGTCATCCTCAAAATCTCCCTCGTCTTGCGCACATACTCAAACGCAGCTACTTCTGCACCGGCGTTCTTCAACTCCTTTTGAATCTCGCTGATATCGTCCTTGGTCAATGCGTTGTCCGCAGAGGAGAGGTAAAAGACGATCGCAAGACGGAGTTTGTCGCGGGGTGAAAAAACGGCTTCGGTGTCTGGTTTGGGATTGGACGAGCGGAGGATTTCGAGAATAGATTGGATGGATTGTTTGGAGATGGCTTCTTCGGTGCTGAAGAGTTCGTCGAGCCCGCGTTTCTTGATTTGGGTGAGGAGGGCGGTGGCCATGTGCATGTGGGTGTCGAGGGTTGCTTTGCGAGCTGTAAGCTCCGGGAGTTGGGTGATGGCTGCCTTCAGGTGGGCTGCGTTGGCTGTCAGGTCTCTGTGTTGCAAATGTTAGCGAGTGTAGATATAGAGGGGAATGGGAACGTACAGCTGAGATATATCGTTGGCGTCGGCTACACCTGTGCTCCTGGTAATCTCTGCAGCATCTTGCTTGTACTTGGTAAGCTCTGCATCGATCTCTTCGGCAACCTGAGGGAAGGGGTGCGAAGCATTTCGAGCCCAGAAAAAGTCTTTGGAATCCAGATCAAAGGTGCGCTTTGGATCCTGGCCTTCAGCTGGGATCGTCACACGGTTAAGCTTAAACTCGAGGCAGTCAGAGACGAGAGCCTGATACGTCCATCCGTGAGCGAGAGGGGAGACGAGGTCAACATTCCGGTCCATGATGAGCAGAACTGGTGATACTAGTTTCAGTATCATTCAACGAGTTGAATTGTTAGACACCTACGCGGTCGCTGCAGGTTCGAAAGTCCTGTAGAATCCTGTGAGAACAAGGCAGCTGAAGGATTCGTCGGCCTCGAAGCAGAGAGGATGGCGTCTCGAATCTTCATTTCGAGACGTTTGGCTACCATTTCTGCTGCACCGTTCCGAGGCGCACGAATGAAGGGGACGTGGCCTGATGTGGCGACTGCGGCAAAGAGCCCATTGGCTACGCGTTCGACTTCCTCTTCAATTTGTTGCTCAGATGAGGAAGGTGAGTTGAGGATGGTGTAGGTCGTAGCCTGAACCGTGGGTTCTTCTTGGGGAGGTGAGTTTGCGTGTACTGAAGGTGGGGGCGGAGGCGGAGGGAGCAGGGAGAAGAGTGAGGGTGCTGGGGAGATGAAAGACAGGTATTGGTCGACAACCTATGCATGTTAGATTTAGCTGGCTGCGTAAACCAATAAAACCTACTTGTTCAATGAGCTCTCCAGTGCCATCCTGGGCTACGGATGCAGCCAGTTCCTCGAGCAAAGATCGAGGTAGGGGATCCACAAAGTTGAGATGGAAACTCTCATACAGATTCTTGCGCAGGTCCTCTGATATCCGCTTGATATTCTGCAGGGTGGGTGTCACAAAGTACACAGCAGGAACATCAGGCAGCGCTGGACGCAAAGAATGTAATTGCCTAGTGTCCTTCCTCCATTCAGAATCCGTATTGACAAGAGATGAAAGTGACTGTGCTTACACGTGTAGCGTTACCCCGACATCGCGCAGATCTTGCACCCGTAGAATCGTAGCTAGGACATCCTTGGTTTGCTGGTCAAGAACGAGAATCTTCCATACTGGAGGCCCTGAGACCGGTGGCGTGTTCAGTCCTGCCGCCTGTTTCCCCTGTGCTCCTGCAGCCGACTGGCTATCAAGAGGCTGGTTGAGGTTCAGCAAGGCCAATAGGGCATTGGTCTGAGCCTGCTGTAGGGACGGTGTCGTCGAGGCCTAGAGAGTCTGTCAGCTACGCGGTCGCTGGATGATAATGGATTAAGACTGGCCTGCTTGGTGAGGGTTGACATGAGAGAAGGAACCACGGTGGAATGAGCGGCGCGTCAAGCCAATGGCCCGCTTGGTCGCCCTATTTAATTATATCTTTGCTAGTGTCTTGTATCACACCGATGGTGAAGTGGTTATCATGCTTGCCTTCCATGGAACGGGAATCGAACCCGCCGGCAGCAAGCGGCACGGGTTCGATTCCCGTTCGGTGTATATGTTTTGTTCCCAGGAATTCCCTTTTTTTTCTGTGTTTAATATCCCTTCATGACTGGGATAAATCATTTTCACTTGTTTTCCTGGGGAGGAACAAGGAGGAGCCGTGAATTTTGCTTGGGTGAGGGTTGATGCCCGGCGCCTTTATAGTGAGCGTAACCATGTTGTCATTGGGAAACCCTGTTTTTCTCAAAGCCAAGTCCAGATCCTCGTTTCCTGGCAATGAGTGCAATTGTGTAGTCCAGTAACTTGCGCCTATACCTCCGCCTCGCTCACTATTGAACTTTTGAAATTGACCTCACGGATCTGTGGATAAAAGGCCTCGGAAGTTATCCAACCTAACCCCGTATGGCATTATGATGTTGGTTCAACTTTGAGAAGCTAATTTCCCTTTTCTTCAATGATTACAGCCTCAACCTTCTCCTAGATACCCTTTTCACGACCCGGACGATACCATGCAACGTCGCCAGGCGGTACACGCTAGGCATAATGACCATACCAGCGACACCCCACCACAACCACCACCAGCCAGCAGTCCAGCACTTGGCAGCCCTCCAGTTTCGAATTCGCCAAGTGGTGGTGCAGAAAGTTCAGTAGGAGCAAACCCAGGAGTCACAGGAGGCCAGCCAGCACCTAGCCAGGGCTCTCCGTCGTCGCCAGCAGGCTCGACGCCTGGCGATGGTGGACAGCAAAGCTCGACAACCGTCGTGGTACCGACAAACGGAACTATGGCTACGACTCTAACGACTTTGATTCCCATTACGACTGTGACGCAACCGTCTACGACCTTTACTTCCTTCTCAGAATCTCTTATCACGACCAATGTACCAACATTCTCGATTTCGTCAGCGAGCTTCGAGAGCGCGACACCCACTCCAATCGCCCAGGATGACCCAGGCTCCGTGTTCTCGCAGACATGCATCGGGCAAGGCTTCGATGCAGCGTCAATCGGTATCCTCACGTCGCTCATCGTTCCTGGCCTCATCGGAATTATTCTCTGGGTGCGTACATGCCCCTGAGCGCGACCGACACGATGCTTACCCGCGTCTAGATAACCTTTGCCATGCTGAGGCCACGTTTCCGTCAAGTCTACGCGTTGAGGGAATGGTTTGTGCAGGAAGGGTGAGGATTGGCGTTTATCGTTCTGAAAGTCTCTCTGACGAATCTACCGCAGCCTTCGCTCCAAGCATCTAGGGAACGGGTTCTTTGCATGGCTCAATCCTCCAGTTCCGCTTCGTCCACCTGTCCCAACCGACGTTTCTGACGCAGGACGGTCGACCGCCACCGACGCAAAGCTTTTCCCATCCGATGAGCAACTCAGCCAGCGTGCACTGTGGGTTGCTCTGCTTGTCGCTCTTGGATGGTCCGTCCTTGCTCTCGCAGGTGCCCTCCCACTCTACATGGTTGGGACACCCTGCCATGGCGATCGTCCCAATCCAGCTGTCTACGGCGGAGGTTATTCGACACTCACCGATCTAAGCCTTCTTCGTCTTTTGAAACTCCTCGAGACCGAAGACGTCTCGATCTTGAGCAACTCGCGCGTTGCACGGAGAGCGTTGGTGGACGACCAATACCGATCAAGAACGAGGATCATCGTCCTCACCGCTATCGCCATCGTCTTTGGTGTTTTACCTGCCTTGTGGAAGATCATGAAGGAATTCAACAATGTCGCGGCTTATCGACAACGGTGGTTGCAAGTCCGATGCGAGAATACCGATCTGGGGTGGCTCAAGGCATCCAGGGCACCAGGGTTCGCCAACTGGGGAGAAACCAGATTCAAAGAGTACCTTGTCCAGATTGGATTGAGCTCACGGCTCGGAGAGGCAGCCAAGAAGAAGAAGGAGAAGGGAACGCGTCGGAATGGACGAAATCGACGACGCGAAGAAGAGCTGCCTCTCAATAACGAAGAGTCCAACCTGGAAGTTGATATCCATAGCTTGTTCTCCATCACGTACGTTGCTCTTTTAAAACGACTGGAATTTCACTAATCTCGTTTCCAGTGATACAGAGGCACTGGCTGTGATGATCGACAAGAGAGAAGAGATCCTTGACAATCTCGAGATTGCAGAGACCAAATACATTAGCATGTTCCGTGTCACCACGCCCGATCCATCCATCCTGGACTTTGCAATCAACGCGCCTCCTCCAGATCCCAGCAAGCCATACATCAGTCGACCCCTTCCCCTAGCACCCCAGCGTCGGAGTAGAGGGGCCCGCCGGATGAACAGAGCATACGGCGCGTCTTCCTTTGTCGCCCCGTCCTCGTTCTACAGACTTCGAAGTCTGCGAGGAGTAAGCGGCGGCCGATTCACAGATTCTGGCCTAGACCAAACCTTGGCTGATTCCTTCCAATCTCGTGTCATTGGAAGCAGGTTCATGGAAGTCAACAGAAACTCTCAGCACTACGGTCGCCTTCCCCTCGGCGCCCATGTCGGACTCGAAAGGGATGGTGAACTAGGTCCTCTCTCCGACACGGGCAGCTGGCTTCCACCTATCCCTGACCCGCGCTACCACGGTCCCAATTACCAACCCTATGAATTCGAGGGTGTAGATGAACATGGCGTGTTTCATCATGCGCAACACGACAACGGCGGTGCAGAGACGACGATTGCCGAGGAGACGGAAGAGGAATGGGTAGATCTCAGACGCGAGAACCCGCGAAATGAATGGGGAACAGAGGTTAATGGAACACCGCCTAGTACTGTTGAACGGCGGCCTCGTCCACCTCCCAAGGACTATGCACCCTCTTCAAGACGCGAGACGTTCCCCATTCGAAGAGACGAGCCTAAAGATGCCGATTATGTCCCACCTCCCCATCTTCGTCTGCAGCCTTCCCAGCCATTTGTGCGTCCTCTCGAGGGTGTCAACTTTGACGATCTTGGTGGCATCTACAACGATATCACCGTGTGGCGATCTGAGCTCAAGTCGATTAATCAGGAGATTGCCGATATGCAAACTCAGAATTACCTGGACATTGCAAACGGACAGGGTGTCAAAGGCTGGTTGATGGTCGGAAAAGGGTTGAGGCATATTCCTGGAGTCGAGTTAATTGAAGGCAGAGCTAAAGAAGACATTCGGTGGGATGTCCTGCAGCATCAGAGAACGTGGCTTGATACCGCTGTCCTCTGGGCCGTCGTTGCGGTGATCATTATCCTTTTGGCTGTAGGAAGTGAGATTCATTGTTCATCTATGTGAGATGGGTTGCTGACTTTGTGTGTTACTAGTGGCCGCCGCAATGGGTCTATCGCTTGCAATGGCCCCGGACTTTGCGCACTACTTGCCCTTCCTAGAGCCCCTTCTCAGAACACATCCCATTGCCGCGGGAGTGGCTACTGTCTTTGCCCCCGCGGTTGCAGCCACCATCTTCATACTCATTGCCATGTACCTCGTTAATCGTGAGTCGTCACTTTTCATATTAGTCGCCATGTCATCTGATGGAATGAATTTCAGGGGCGGCTAAAATTCATGGATCGGTATCTGTCTCTGGGAACCAGCTCCTGGTGTTCAAGATCACGTTCTGGGTCTTGACATTTGTTGGCACCCTCTGGCTAGTGGGAATTGGCGCCCTTTTATACTCCATGCGCGCCCTCAACACCGAGGAGGGCGAGACCAAATCCGTTGCAGATGGGGCGATTTACATGAGCATCCTTGCCTTGGCGCTGGTTCTCAATGTGGCCATCATCGTTCCCGCATGTCTTTTGCTACAACCTTTCCGTTTATGGCGTATCACCCGCTCGGAAAAAGAGTCTTTCACACCAAGACAGCGCTTCAGAGGTGGGTGTCTAATCAAACTTTTTTGCTCGTCTTCTTTGACTGATGGGATGGCTACTCGTATTCTTTAGCAACCTTCCCAAGAACGTACAACCCGTCATATGCCATGGGGGCATGCATCCTCGCCATCGTCTTCGCTTCGACGTTTGCTTTGATATTCCCTTTGATAGCCCCGGCGGTGGTACTATTCCTACTTCTGACTCTGATAGGTAAGGCAGCCTTACGAAGACCTCAAACCTTGTCCACTCACTCGTCTTCTCATTAGCACACCGTTATCTCGTTGGCTATGTCTACGTGAGGACGCACTCTCAGACCGGAGGAGTACTACAACTATGGCTCCTGAAGCGCTTTGGAAGCCTGCTTTCATTCCAGCCCATTCTGATGGGACTCATCTTCCTCACCCGACATCTATGGATAGAGGGTGGCGTCCTAGTTGGCGTCGGCGTCTTTGTGGTGCTCTTCGTAGAGAGCTACTGTGCCTGGAAGACCCGGCTCCCCGGCTACAAGACTCTCAACCCTACCACTCGCCAATCAGTGGAGCAATTCGCCAGTGGAGCTGACACGTACCTCGATCCTGACAGGATGGTCACGCCCGCCAATCTCAGCAAAGCGGACGTATTGGAAAACGATGGCGTGCGTTCGAGTGTCGTCCGAAGTGAAGGCATGCGAACATTAGGCTCCTTTGCCTCGGTTTTGGACTTGATGAGTCGAACCCTTGCGGTCGCACCTTCATCTTCAGCCTATCGTGGAGCTGTACCACTTGGTACGTTGCGATTCTGCCGGCATGAAAGGGATTCTATCTAACGATTGCAATCTCATTTAGACACGGAAAACCTTAATGATCTGACGGCGACGGAGCGGGCAGCGCGAACACATCCTGATGCGCCACCTCGACTGCCCCCTCTGCCTTTCACCGAACATATCGATGGCATGGTCGGCGTTCTGTATGCACCTGAACTCACAGCGCCTCCTCCCACCATCTGGCTGCCGAACGACACCGCGGGAGTAGCCCAGTCCGAAGCGGTCGACCTTGAGCGCTATCACGAACTGCACGTCACTATTGATGTGAGGGCCAAGGAGGATCTGCACCTTCGCCCAACGACGTCACGGCGGACAAATTCCTAGCTTTTTCCGTTCCCTCTTCGTTTTTGTTGCTTTCCTTCATTCATTCAGCTACCTTACTATTAATCCGCTTTAGACACTCACAAGGACACTTAACTGCAATATAC